TATACGCCTATCTATAGACGGTCCGGAGAGATGCTTAATATGTTTGATGTCCATTATTTCACAAGCAGTCTAAAGTTTGAACTCAGTTTTGGAAAGCATTCGTCTAGAATGTATACGTAAAATAAACGTAGTTTCCAATGGGAAATGTAAATTACTTACGTATTTCATACAGGAGCGCCTTCCATTCACACATTTTACATATACAACAGTAGTAGTGATCAGCTAAAAGATATATGAAATATATACATATTTTACTTGAGAGGACCTTGTATTTTACATATGTTATCAGGCTGATCACTAATATATATATATATATATATATATATATGTGTATATGTATATATACATATATATACACATATACACATATATATACATATATATATGTATATATATATAATACATATATAATACATACATTGTGCTAATTTAAAATATTTTGACTTTCGCACAGTTATACAATATGTTTGTGGGACCACGAAAGCACCGTCTGCAGCTCACAATGCGTAGACAACAAATATAAATACTGTATAGGGCTTTATATGTATTCCTAATTTTGTGTATGTGCCATTATACTGCAAATGCCACTGAGCAGGTTTCCATTTTGGTTTGCTTGGACGCGGACAACAACTCAAGTCTGTTCGCAGCAGATCACATTAGCGTTTGAGAAAGCAGCACATTAACAACAGAATCGATAGATTCACAATGTTAGTCTCATGCGGAACAGTCAGGCATCTGCACAGGCATTTTCAGCAATAGCATTTACGGTGGAGCATTAAGTCTGTTGTGGTTCGAACTTCTACACCAAATCTTTGAACACTGTCTTTCGACCCAGACACGGATACACTTCTTCAATTGTTGTGTTGATACCTCACACTTGGGTAATATAACTTTATTTACGAAACAAATTACATGCAAACTAACCTACTGTTATCTAATCTCGATATGCCTAAAGTTAGTCTTGATATGCTTAAAGATATGCTAAAAGTTACTGTCTCCTGGTAGTCAAAAAATTCCTTAAACATACAACAAAACGAGCCTAGTTTTAGAATTATCATGAGCTGTGTTTTCAATGCACGACAACATTACAAAAAGAAATTAAGTAACTGAAAAATAGTTACTAACAAAAGCGCTGCAGTCAAGGAATGGAAATGATAACAGTTAGTGCCATATTACAGCATTGCTAAACAATTTTCTATGTGACCTAAATTCATATACAATGAAAATAAATTAATTTGAGCAAAGAAATTCTTTAAAATCCTTAAAAAGCGTTGTGTTAATAATAACAATAATAATAATAATTCTGTCGTGGTTCACATTACATTCCACAACAAATTGTTTGTAAAAAGGCCCAGGCGCTGGTGTACATCCCAGTTGCTTTATTCATACTTTAAACTCAAACTTTGGTAATATAACTTGCTATTTATAGAAACAAATTACACGTATAAACAAGCTTAATGTTACCTAATTATGGCGCATTTAAATATTAAACTTATTACGCAAAAAACAAACAACATTATTCCAGTAAAGTTTTTAGGGTTTATTTAGCACTGGTTACGTGTAGTGAACTGTAGTGTGGCGTTGTACGTTGACTGGGGGCACAAAATTGAGTAACAAAAGGTATGTTTATGGTTTACTGATAAAGCAAGCAAATAGCGGACAAATAATACAGCGGGTGGCGCTTGAGATGTGGTCTCAGTGGCTTGCCGAACAAGGGCTGTTAGGTGTTGGACAAGCGAATAGCAGAAGAGTACGGTTTGCCCTCGAGCATAGAAGCAGAGGTTGAGTTGGGTGAAGACGATGGTCCTTCAGCGATGATATATAGGTTTTTAGAAGAGTTTGTAATATACCAAAAAACGAGGAATGTTCACGAAGAAAAGAAGAAATTGAGACTTGGGAAAGAAAATCTGTTTGTCGAGGGATGTGGCCGATTTTCGGCTGGCGGATCTTAGCCGCTGGCTAACCATTTCGGCCCGCGTTCCCGTTTCGTCATATATGTAAATATTTCTTAGATGCACGTGAAAACTGTATAATAATTATCAGCCGGCGGATCACCCCTCGTCGGCCGACCACTTCTATTTTTCACATTTTTTTGCGCCAATGCAAAAATTCCAGTTGAGAGTTAGGATCCCCCTCGCTTTCGCTTTCTTCTCCATTCGCTCGAATGGGTGGGATACGGAACAACCATGGTTCCGTCGTCGGCTTTTCGACCACATGAGCCGATACTATCCCAACCGAAAGGGCTGCTACTTGAGTGCTCGACGTTTGTGGACTGTCCATCGGAAGATTGGAGGAAGCGCGACGCTATTGTACCAATGAAAGGCGCGCCACTGCTGCGCGGAGAAGACGCCGTTGTTCCGAAGCCATTACTCACAAAAGGATTTCGTCCGACACCGAACAGCGTCCGACAACCAATTGCCGGATAAATGCTTGACAAATGGCAAATGGGGTAAAATGAAATACTAAAATAGGTAATAGAATATATCGCGACCTTAATTGTTGTTTTATTTAGACTAGTGGGTACCCCGTGGGTAGATGCATGTGTGTATGTGTGTGTGTGTGTGTATGTGGCACGCCGCGTCCTATATACACGTTTATTATACATAGTATAGTGAAAAAGGTTAAATAAAAGGTAGGTGAGGCTCCCCAGAATAGAAATGTTGGTCTATATCAGTAAGTCG